GTCACCTCAAACTCTTCAATTCTACGATTCTAGATGATATGGAAGAGCCCTCTCCATCCGAGGCCTTGAAGGGAGCTCCTGCTGGTTAAAAGAGATCTTTTTGAGCCCAAATCTATCAAGGACCTGGACCTGTTGAAGGCAGCTTCATATGGTATTCTTGTATTTATATTCAAATGCCAACCCACAGGGGTTGCAGTCCCCCACAACTCAACCGTGGCTTCTCGTTTCCAGGAAGTGTGTGAGTTTTGCATTCAGAGGGGTAAAGAGCCCAACGTACAAACACAGTGGGGCAGCCTTGAGGTCCAGATGGGTGTCCCTGTCTCGCGGCTGTAACAAGTCAGGAGAGAACTTCCTTCAAGAACGAAGCCCGGATTGCAGGTGTACTGGATTGTGGTCCCGACCAAGAGCACGGGGTCAGAAATCAAACGGGCTGAGTGCTCCACCTCCCCAGGGTCTGTGCAGTACATAACTAGAGGAGAGAAAGGAACAGAGTTAGATGAGAACTGGGGGCATCCATGGCAAGAGTTGGTCTCTCTAGCTTGCAGTATTGTAGGATGTGGAGGATTTCCGGTTTGAAATGCTTCTAGTCCCCATGAAAGCTTTGAAATCTGATGCCTTTTCACCCTTCAGTTTGAAAGGTTTCAATATAATTATAATAATAATAATTTATGTATACCCCACCCATCTGGTTGGGCTTCCCCAGCCACTCTGGGCGGCTTTCAACAAAATATTAAAATACAGTAATTCATCAAACATTAAAAGCTTCCCTAAATAGGTCTGCCTTCAGATGTGTTCTAAAAGTCTGGTAGTTGTTATTCTCTTTAACATCTGGTGGGAGGGCGTTCCACAGGGCAGGTGCCACTACCGAGAAGGCCCTCTGCCTGGTTCTTTGTAACCTCACTTCTTGCAGGGAGGGAACCGCCAGAAGGTCCTCGGCACTGGACCTCAGTCTAGAATGGTGGGGTAGGAGATGCTCCTTCAGGTATACTGGACCGAGGCTGTTTAGGGCTTTAAAAGTCAGCACCAACACTTTGAATTGTGCTCGGAAACGTACTGGGAGCCAATGTAGGTCTTTCAAGACTGGTGTTATTGTGGTCTTGGCGGCCACTCCCAGTCACCAGTCTAGCTGCTGCATTCTGGATTAGTTGTAGTTTCCGGGTCACCTTCAAAGGTAGCCCCACGTAGAGCGCACTGCAGTAGTCCAAGTGAGAGATAACCAGAGCATGCACCACTCTGGCAAGACAGTCCGCGGGCAGGTAGGGTCTCAGCTTGCGTACCAGATGGAGCTGGTAGACAGCTGCTCTGGACACAGAATTGACCTGCGCCTCCATGGATAACTGTGAGTCCAAAATGATTTCCAGGCTGCGCACCTGGTCCTTCAGGGGCACAGTTACCCCATTCAGGACCAGGGAGTCCTCCACACCTGCCCGCCTCCTGTCCCCCAAAACAGTACTTCTATTTTGTCAGGATTCAACCTCAATCTGTTAGCCACCATCCATCCTCCAACCACCTCCAGACACTCACACAGGACCTTCACCGCCTTCACTGGTTCTGATTTGAAAGAGAGATAGAGCTGGGTATCATCCGCATATTGATGGACACCCAGCCCAAACACCCTGGTGATCTCTCCCAGCAGCTTCATGTAGATGTTAAAAAGCATGGGGAGAGCTCAGAACCCTGAAGCACCCCACAAGTGAGGGCCTAGGGGTCTGAACACTCACCCTCCACTTTCAGAACATAGCCCAGGAGGAAGGAGCGGAACCACTGTATAACAGTGCCCCCAGCTCTCAGCTCCTCTAGACGGTCTAGAAGGATGTTATGGTCGATGGTCTCAAAGGCCGCTGAGAGATCCAGCAGAACTAGGAAACAGCTCTCACCTTTGTCCCTAGCCTGCCGGAGATCGTTGACCAGTGCAACCAAGGCAGTTTCAGTCCCATGATGAGGCCTGAATCCCAACTGGAAGGGATCCAAATGGTCCGCTTCTTCCAGGAGTGCCTCATTTAATGTACTGGGATGTGTAAGAATTGCCATTTATCTGTAGAGCTGTATTTTCAGGTTTTTATTGGTTGGGTTGCTATGCTTGGTTTCAGACAGTGTTTTTGTATGTTTTTCTGGGGGTCACTTTTTGAGGAAAGCAGATCAGAATGACAATAATAACACGCATAGCAGAAACCACAGCTGGCTGAGCTGGGGCTTCTAGCTGCCAAATGGCAAGGCATCTTTGTTCACTCAACCCCTTCTTGCACCTGCACAGCAATCCAAAGCGGGTCCTGGGCATCCCCAGCAGAGGCTGCTCAGGGCGGTCACATTTTATGCACATTGAACTGGTGTGATCTCAGCTACATGGGGCTGAAGACCAGCTGCTTGAAATGGCACAAGTTGAATCCAAGCAAGGCGGAGAGCTCAAGACGAGACTGTTGGAGTTCCCGTGAGATCTCCTGTGAAGATCACTAGGCTTCTGGACCTGGTGTGCTAAGAGGCCCTTGATAGTTATTTACTGCACCCCACATTTTCTCTCCAAGGAGTTCCAGGTGGCACACACAGTTCTCCCCACTCCTCATTTAATCCTCACAGCAACCCTGCAAGGTAGGCTAGGCTGAGAGGCAGGGACCAGCACCCAAGGTCAACCAGCGAGTTCCATATGGCTGAGTGGGGATTCAAACCCTGGCCTCCCAGGTCCTATTCTGACACGCTGGCCTTAACCTCCAAGCAAGGCAGAGGCCTTAAAAGCTCCCTTTGTGCTGGTTCCTCTTGAGTTACCTGCTGCAAAAAGAGCTTTTAAGCTTTCCCCCGACTTGCTGGGCAGCTCCAAAGGACTTGGGCATACCTCTGTGTAAGATGAGATCGTACTGTGTAAACTGGGGGAGCCCCCTCAGCTCTGCTCTGCAAGGTGGAAGGCTCTCTCTTACATGGCAGATGCAGGGAGGGTTCCTCAAACCACGAGGAAAGACATGTTAAGAGTCAGGAGCAGGGCAGACGCGGAGTCAGCACAGGTCATGCCACCCTTGCCTACATTGCGAAGCCCATACTTTTCTCACAGAAGGGCGGGTCGCTGCTCCAGCTGAGGTCCCACTGGCAGGTGAGGGTGTCACTCCCGACAATGTCGTAGCCTGGGTCACACTGGTAGGTGATCTTGGACTCACGAACAAGTTCTGTGTGAGATGTGGTCTTCCAGCCGTTCTGGATTTCAGGCAAGTCTGAACAGGAGTCATTCCGCGACACTTCTGTACCCGGAAAGAGAACTTGCAGTTAAGAAGCAGCTGGGTACACAGTTGGACCCTGCCCCTCAAGCCCCTCAAATACCCTCTTGGCAGCTATTTGACAGCTGCAGGAAACATCAAGTTCTAGAGAAGCTGGAGGTGGAACTCTCAAAATCTGGGCTGCCTCAACCTGGGCTTCTCTAACAGAACATTTTGCCTCCTTTAAGGAGCTTGTGCACACAGCTTGGATGGCCCCGTCTCCAGAAGAGCTGCCCCGGTGATGGGATGCGCCCTGCTTAGAGCATTCTGTGACATCACAGAGAGCTTGCAGCAGGGATGCCAACTTGAATAAAATATGGGGGGGGGGGCAAGTAGGCCCCACCCCACATAATCCATCACAAGATGCGGCACACACCCACACACCACTTGAATGGCAATGCCCATCAACTCTGGCAGCCCCTGGCCCCCTCAAATATTTTAGGGGGCCCCCCAAAGGGACAATGGCTCTTAGGAGTTGGCTCCTGTGGCTTGCAACACCCTCCCTGGTGAGAGGGAGGGGCAAAGTCAGAGGAGGAAGAAATCAGCGCTGTTGCTGATAGAAAGGGCTCTATGCTGTCAACGTCTTGAGGCTGCCAAGTGGGAAATGCAGATGGGGTTCTCTCTCTCCTCCCCAGTTAAAGGACAAATGGAGGGAGCTGCCCCCAAACACATTTCAAGTCCCTCTTGGCTGGAGCTTGAACAAGTTAAACTGCTAGTTCTTAAAGGTTACAGAGTGGGGAGCAGGGAGCTGTCGCCCTTCCAATGTTGCCGAAATGCAACTCCCAGCTCCCTCTCTGGCTGCTAAGGCTGATGGGAGTTTAACTCCAAGAAAGCCTGGCGGGTCATGGGCTCCTCACCCATCTCCAGTGAGCCTCTGCATCTTGCACAGTCAGCCCCTCCCCCAGCTTTGCCCTTTCCAGGCCAGGAGGTGGCGAGGCCTCTGGGCACCCTTCCAGGCACCCACCAATGTAGTTCATGATAAATCCCTGCCCTTTTCCAAAGATGAGCCCAGCCGGGTCCGAGTGGAACTGGATGGTCAAGTCTGGCGTGGAGGAGTAGAGTTTCTGAGGCCCACTGCTGCCCAGGTAGTGTCCCAAGATGTGGGTGCTGACGTCGTCTCCATCATAGACAGTGAGGATATCGCTGTTGCTCAGGTTCAGACTGTGCCGGGGGACGGGGAATGGGCAGGCAGAGAAAGAAAGGGTCACCGTGAGAGGAGTCCTTCTGGATCATCTGGTCTGGGCTCCAACCTCCTTCCCACAGTGGCCAAGAAGCTTCCTCCAGGCTACCCACAAAGCAGGACATCAAGCATTTGCCTCTGATAAACCAATATTCAATGGTATATTGCCTCTGAACTTGGAAACTCCATGATCTGCTGCCATAGGAAGGAGCAGGAGGAGTGGCTGCTAGACGTCCCTGCGGTGAATGTGTCTCAGCAACAGCAATAACACCAAAGGAGCCGTGCAGGATCAGGCTCAAAGCCTCTCTGGCCCAGCATCCTGCTTCCCACATAGGCCAGTCCAATGCTTTCAGGAAGTGCACAGGCTGAGCATGAAGGAAGCAGCTCTCCTTTGCTGTTACTCAGCCCTTCTGGATCAGACCAAAGGCTCATCTAGAGGTATATTTTGGAACATGCCCTATTCTTTTGATCATAATTGGTCTTAACTAGTTTTAATATTGTATTTTTGAGTTGTTGATACCCACTCAGGGACCTCAAAATAGAGAGGTGGAGAAGAAATCTAATCTTGTTGTCTGTGTGCTTGCTTGATCTGCGTAGCTCAGTTGGTAGAGCATGAGACTCTTAAAGTTTTTAGTGTTTGATGTTGTAACTGTGTTTTTACTATTTTTTGTTGGGAGCTGCCAAGAGTGGCTGGGGCAACCCTATCAGATGGGTGGCTTATAAATAATAGAAATTAATAAAAACAACCACCACCACCACCATCCCAGGGATGCAGGTTCAAGCCCCAAGCTGGGCAAAAAGATTCCTGCATTGCAGGGGGTTCGACTAGATGACTCTTGTGGTCCCTTACAACTCTACAGTTCTATGATTTAGACATCTTAAGATACTGTAATCAAATTTGGACCCAGGATGGTGAAACAAACTTGTCAGAACAGGGGTTTTCTCTGTCTTGACCTTAGACTGTTTCTGGACTTTGCTTCTTGAGTTGCCCCTCTGTTTTTACTATGGAATTCCTTTTTGGATTGCCCTGAGTATGGACTTGGGGCAGCTGGGTCCCACAAGCAGTAGTGAAGGCCACCAACTTGGATGGCTTTAAAGGAGGATTAGAGAAATTAATGTGCCTAAGGCTGTCAATGGCTACTAGTCACAATAGCTATGTTCTGCCTTAACGGTTCAGAATGTGCCTCTGAATGTGCAAGTAGCGTGGGGTGGGGGGAGCTCTGCTGTTGCTCTGGGGTCCTTCTTGCAGGATTCCTGTGGGGAACTGGTTGGGAAGATGATGATCAAGATGGGCCCTCGGCCTGATCCAACAGGCTCTTCTGCTGCTCTTAGCAGGCTGCTGTTTGTGTCTGGATGCCATTCTCAACCAAGGTGGTGGACGGAATATTTTAAAACTGCACTGTTTTTAAAATTTTGGTTTTCTTAGAGTTCCTGGGCAATGCTAGAAACTGCCAGTACTTTGTATGTTGACACTGGAAAGCAGATGTCAAGGTTGAGCCCTGCTGTACATGAAGCCTGGAAATCAAGTGCTGCAGTTTCCCAGAACAACTCAAAAGTTTGCCCAGACCTGTTTTGATCAGAGGCAGAAGTGGGATGCACATCCAGATCACTAGGAGAAGTTGCTTTTACGAGCCGCCTTGGCCCCCTGAGCTAGTTTGCCTTAGTGGTAGACAAGCAGGGAAGAACCAAGCCAAGTAGGCATGACTTGCAAAGTGATGAAATCCAAAATGCAAAGCAAGACCGTTCCCCAAGGGCATGGGAAAATAAAACTCGGATGTTCCTGTGCCTTTAAAAGAAGTCAAATGCAAATGGATTACAAATATCAAATAAATAAGTATGTATTCTGTTGTTTTATTCTTGTATTATGTTTTAAACTTCATGGATCCATCCCCTTCATGGATCACTGCCTTGCCATGGCAAAGGGGCATGAATAGCTCAGAGTAGCTATGAACTATGCCGAGCAGGGCACCCAAGATGAACAGGTCATAGTGGAGAGTTTTGACCAATCGTGATCCACCTGGAAGAGGAACCAGCAAGCCACTCCAGTATCCCTGCCAAGAAAACTCCATGGACAAAGACAACAGGCACCAAAAAGTTATGACGCTGGAAGATGAGCCCCTCAGGTCGGAAGGCGTCCAACATGCTACTGAGGAAGAGCGGAGGACAAGTACAAGTAGATTCAGAGCTGATGAAGCGTCTGGGCCAAAGATGAAAGGACGCTCAGTTGCGGATATGCCTGGAAGCGAAAGGAAAGTCCAATGCTGTAAAGGAAAATATTGCATAGGAACCCGGAATGTAAGAACCATGAACCTTGGTAAGTTGGATGTGGTCAAAAATGAGATGGCAAGAATAAATATTGACATCCTGGGCATCAGTGAACTAAAATGGACGGGAATGGGCGAATTCAGTTCGGATGACCATCATATCTACTACTGTGGGCAAGGAACCCATAAAAGAAATGGAGTGGCCTTCATAGTCAACAAAAGAGTGGCGAAAACTGTACTGGGATGCAATCTCAAAAATGATAGAATGATCTTGATATGAATCCAAGGCAGACCTTTTAACATCACAGTAATCCAAGTTTATGCACCAACTACTGGTGCTGAAGAAACTGAAATTGAGCAATTCTATGAAGACTTACAACACCTTATAGAAGTGACACCAAAGAAGGATGTTCTTCTCATTATAGGGGATTGGAATGCTAAAGTAGGGAACCAAGAGATAAAAGGAACAACTGGCAAGTTTGGCCTTGGAGATCAAAATGAAGCAGGGCAAAGGCTAATAGAGTTCTGTCAAGAGAACAAGCTGGTCATCACAAACACGCTTTTCCAACAACACAAGAGATGACTCTACACATGGACATCACCAGATGGGCAGCATCGAAATCAGATTGATTATATTCTCTGCAGCCAAAGATGGAGAAGCTCTATACAGTCAGCAAAAACAAGACCTGGAGCTGACTGTGGCTCAGATCATCAGCTTCTTATAGCAAAATTCAAGCTTAAACTGAAGAAAGTAGGAAAAACCACTGGGCAGGTAAGATACAATCTAAATCAAATCCCTTATGAATACATAGTGGAAGTGAGGAACAGGTTCAAGGATTTAGATTTGCTGGACAGAGTGCCTGAAGAACTATGGATGGAGGCTCGCAATATTATACAGGAGGCAGCAACGAAAACCATCCCAATGAAAAGGAAATGCAAGAAAGCAAAGTGGCTGTCCAACGAGGCCTTACAAATAGCGGGGGAGAGAAGGCAAGCAAAGTGCAAGGGAGATAGTGAAAGATACAGGAAATTGAATGCAGATTTCCAAAAAATAGCAAGGAGAGACAAGAAGGCCTTCTTAAACGAGCAATGCAAAGAAATAGAGGAAAACAGCAGAATGGGAAGAACCAGAGATCTGTTCAAGAAAATTGGAGATATGAAAGGAACATTTTGTACAAAGATTACCATAATAAAGGACAAAAGTGGTAAGGACCTAACAGAAGCAGAAGACATCAAGAAGAGGTGGCAAGAATACACAGAGGAATTATACCAGAAAGATATGGATGGCTCGTACACCCCAGGTAGTGTGGTTGCTGACCTTGAGCCAGACATCCTGGAGAGTGAAGTCAAATGGGCCTTAGAAAACACTGCAAATAACAAGGCCAGTGGAAGTGATGGTATTCCAGATGAACTATTTAAAATTTTAAAAGATGAGGTTGTTAAGGTGCTACACTCAATATGCCAACAAGTTTGGAAAACTCAGCAGTGGCCAGAGGATTGGAGAAGATCAGTCTACATCCCAATCCCAAAGAAGGGCACTGCCAAAGAATGCTCCAACTACCGCACAATTGCACTCATTTTACACGCTAGCAAGGTTATGCTTAAAATTCTAGAAGGAAGGCTCAAGCAGTATGTGGACCGAGAATTCCCAGAAGTGCAAGCTGGATTTAGAAGAGGCAGAGGAACCAGAGACCAAATTGCAAACATGCGCTGGATTATGGAGAAAGCTAGAGAGTTCCAGAAAGACATCTACTTCTGCTTCATTGACTATGCAAAAGCCTTTGACTGTGTCGACCACAGCAAACTATGGCAAGTTCTTAAAGAAATGGGAGTGCCTGATCACCTCATCTGTCTCCTGAGAAATCTCTATGTGGGACAAGAAGCTACAGTTAGAACTGGATATGGAACAACTGATTGGTTCAAAATTGGGAAAAGAGTACGATAAGGCTGAATATTGTCTCCCTGCTTATTTAACTTATATGCAGAATTCATCATGCGAAAAGCTGGGCTGGATGAATCCCTAGCCAGAATTAAGATTGCCGGAAGAAATATCAACAACCTCAGATATGCTGATGACACAATCATGATGGCAGAAAGTGAGGAGGACTTAAAGAAGCTCTTAATGAGGGTGAGAGAGGAGAGCGCAAAATATGGTCTGAAGCTCAACATCAAAAAAACGAAGATCATGGCCACTGGTCCCATCACCTCCTGGCAAACAGAAGGGGAAGAAATGGAGGCAGTGAGAGATTTTACTTTCTTGGGCTCCATGATCACTGCAGATGGTGACAGCAGCCACGAAATGAAAAGACGCCTGCTTCTGGGGAGAAAAGCAATGACAAACCTAGACAGCATCTTAAAAAGTAGAGACATCACCTTGCCAACAAAGGTCCGTATAGCAAAAGCTATGGTTTTCCCAGTAGTGATGTATGGAAGTGAGAGCTGGACCATAAAGAAGGCTGATCGTTGACGAATTGATGCTTTTGAATTATGGTGCTGGAGGAGACTCTTGAGAGTCCCATGGACTGCAAGAAGATCAAACGTATCCATTCTTAAGGAAATCAGCCCTGAGTGCTCATGGAAGGACAGATCATGAAGCTGAGGCTCCAATACTTTGGCCACCTCATGAGATGAGAAGACTCCCTGGAAAAGACCCTGATGTTGGGAAAGATTGAGGGCACGAGGAGAAGGGGACAACAGAGGACGAGATGGTTGGATGGTGTTCTCGAAGCTATCTGCATGAGTTTGACTAAACTGCGGAAGGCAGTGGAAGACAGAAGTGCCTGCTGTGCTCTGGTCCATGGGGTCACGAAGAGTTGGACATGACTAAACGACTAAACAACAAATGTTTTAAAAACATATATTTAATTTACAGGAAAATCAAGTTGTTACAATGTGGTATGAATCATAGAATCATAGAATCATAGAATCAAAGAGCTGGAAGAGACCACAAGGGCCATCGAGTCCAACCCCCTGCCAAGCAGGAAACACCAGGAAACGTATGATGAACGTATGTCTAAAGAAACCAATAAAAAAGAACAGCAAAAAAGAAGAAGAAAGAACAGGAGCGGCAGTCAAAGCTCATGGCATGAAGATCAGTGAATCTCTGCATGGCAAGCAGACAGGGGACAATATCAGAAACTGGTAACTCCTCACTGGTCTCACTTCTAAATTCAACACAGTAGCAGAGCTTCTATTGGCCAGCAGAGGGTGCTGCTCTTCAGTAAATTCAAACTTTCCCCTTCAACTCAGAGTTTCAAGGAGAAACACCAGTCTGCCAGCCAGCCAGAAAAGAGCTCCGCCATGTTCTTGTGTCTTTATCAGTAGGAATCAGCAGCAGCCCAAAGCATTCACAGTTATCACCATCTGCTAATGTCTGCACACTAAATTGTGACTTCCAGAACACCACGGGGTTCTCAGTTCTGTTTAATAATTTTAAGGTCCTGATGCTGGTGGCAGGAGATGGGTGAAGGAGAGATGCAGAAGCTGCAATAAAAAGTCCCCTGGAGGGAGCAATGGGAAGGGCTAGCAGAGCA